GTTACGGGGCAGCGGAGTTATTTGATTTTCTTTTAGGAACCTGGATGGTCATCGAGTACGATACTTACAGCAAGTAATGAGTATGAACTGGGTAAATGCGAAATCACCGATTCGCTAGCACAGGATGCTTTGAATCGAATGAAAACCGACCAATGTCGAGCAGCTGCAAAGCAAATTCTCTGTTCTGACAGAATTCGTGAAAAGCTCTTCTTAAACAACTCTTGCCCTTACTTTGGTTAGCTTCAGATTTATGAAATGTTTATTCTGTCTTGTAACGGTGTTTGGTGGAACTTGTAGAAAATAGGAATTTGAGCCGTTGTTATTGCGATTAACACGGTTATTTTTTTTACGATCTTTACGGTAATTCATTCGGAGTTTTCTAAATAGCAGTAGGTCTATATTGTTTTTTGACAAAAGATTTTCTTAGAGTTTTCATTTCTCGTTGTTCTATACTACACATATGCTGCTTAATATGGCCATGAAAACGGTTAGTAGTAGTTTTTTTAACTTTTATGTTCTTTTCTTCAGTGCCAACCGTAAAGGAAGTTAATATTTTTCTTAGAAGTTGATAAGAAAGGCACTTTTCTTGGTTGCTTTGCTGACTCGAAGAGATTCCGTACTCTTTCTGGACACCAGTACAAGTTTGTAAAGGAAAATTCACCAATATATTGCGTTGATGCCTGCATACACGCTGGATATAAATATGCTGGTAAATTGCAGCTTTGGATGTGCTTGACTGTAGTAGGTAAAAAGTGCTATTTGTAGCAGAGTAAAAGAAAAAGATTCAGTTTAGAGGATTTGCGAATACTAATGGTTTTGTGCATCTGTGAGTAGGAATATATTTTTTACTTTATTTGAGCTTCTCAAAGGGTGTTAACTCTTATTTCGGGAATAAGTATCTGGTTGATAAAATTCGGTCACTTTTTTGATGCAGTTTAGTAACGTGGTGTGGAGTTGTCCATAAAAGTCTAATTTTCAGTTAAATTTAAATCAGAGGCAGAAATTTAGGTGTTGAATACCAAAATGAATGTTATTGTGGCGACGAGCTGAAGAACGTTTCAGAGTTACCGTTAAACAGTTGCCAAAAATATTTTTGTCCTTCAGAAAAAAGTGTTTTCTGTGGTGGTTATGAAGCTGTTAGTGTTTACTCGACAGGTATTCAGGGTTAGTTTCTTCGCAGAATCTTTCTCATGATAGAGCTTCTACTTGTATTTTTTGTGTAATTGGGGGGATAAGAGAAGAATAATTAAATGTTCATCTTTTTTATTTGTACAGTTTTATAGATAAGTCCACGATAGTTGTCAATTTTGTGGATTCTCTAGAACCAAAAAACATTAGCGCTCAAATACTTTTTCTTCTACAGCTAAATGGACGAAACTCGAGGCAGGTAAAATATTTTAGATTTGTATAGTGTCTTTGGTTTTATACTTGGAAGTTTTAAAGAGTTTAATAGGTTTTGTACAGGATCATTTTTTGTATTTATTGGTTTTAAAATTCTTTGGAGCTGGCGTTACAGTGGCCGGAGCTTGAGAAGGATAGACTGTATTTTTTTTTCAGTCGTAGTGTTTAATGAGATCAGTCAGACAGTTATATTTTGTAAGTATTAAACTATTCGCTCAAGGTGATGCCTTTTCTGCTGAGGCTATTTATAAGTTGTTCGAAGTGGGTTTTTTTGATAAGTTATTTGAAAGAACGGTAAACACTACAGGAAAATGCAATAATTGCTGCCTGAGTGGTAATCAGAGGAGGCAGAGTTTTTTAAAGAATTTTAGAAAGAGTTGCCACATTACTAGTCACCTTCCTGGTTCTTCCCTGAAACTTCTCCCTGATTATTTCTCTTCCACTCTTCATTGTTTTTCTTCCGTACTGAAAACAGTCTTGATTTTGCTCTGTTTCTTTAGTTGTGGAACTGATCTACTCTTGTCAATTTGTGAACTAATTTTGATGTTGTTTTGACCTCAGCAGTTGACCTCCACTTTTGCTGGAATATTTTTACATTGTGTTTTGAAAGGAAAAAGTGTAATCAGTATTAGCGCGTCAAAAAACTTCAATATCAGTAGATAACATGATCATCTGTAGAGTTGGGCGGGTTCTTGTCGGGACAGGGAATTTAGTAGTTTTTGAAATGTTATTTTTTAGCTTATCACAATTTGTTTCTAATGCTTTAGTTAACATATTTTCTTGCGCTTTTTTTAAAGGGAATTGTTTTATTCATTTATTTCACTGAGAAAACCTCAGGTTGTATTGAACATGTTTTGGTATTTATACTAAGCGCTCGTTTTCCCTTTCTAGCAAGTTTTCTCTCAATGTGAAAACAATTTTTTTTTTTT